CAGGATCACTTTCTGTCAAAAAACATCTGTCTCTGAGCACGTGGAGGGAATGATACTTGTGATAGGAGAGACACTCTCTCTGGGAACATTCTACTTACTGCAGGATCACTTTCTGTCAAAAAACATCTAGTCTCTGAGCACTTGGAGGGAATGATACTTGTGACAGGAGAGACACTCTCTCTGAGAACATTCTACTTACTGCAGGATCGCTTTCTGTCAAAAAACATCTGTCTCTGAGCACGTGGAGGGAATGATACTTGTGACAGGAGAGACACTCTCTCTGAGAACATTCTACTTACTGCAGGATCGCTTTCTGTCAAAAAACATCTGTCTCTGAGCATGTGGAGGGAATGATACTTGTGACAGGAGAGACACTCTCTCTGAGAACATTCTACTTACTGCAGGATCGCTTTCTGTCAAAAAACATCTGTCTCTGAGCACGTGGAGGGAATGATACTTGTGACAGGAGAGACACTCTCTCTGAGAACATTCTACTTACTGCAGGATCGCTTTCTGTCAAAAAACATCTGTCTCTGAGCACGTGGAGGGAATGATACTTGTGACAGGAGAGACACTCTCTCTGAGAACATTCTACTTACTGCAGGATCGCTTTCTGTCAAAAAGCTTCTGTCTCTGAGCATGTGGAGGGAATGATACTTGTGACAGGAGAGACACTCTCTCTGAGAACATTCTACTTACTGCAGGATCGCTTTCTGTCAAAAAACATCTGTCTCTGAGCATGTGGAGGGAATGATACTTGTGACAGGAGAGACACTCTCTCTGAGAACATTCTACTTACTGCAGGATCACTTTCTGTCAAAAAACATCTAGTCTCAGAGCACTTGGAGGGAATGATACTTGTGACAGGAGAGATACTCTCTCTGGGAACATTCCAGTGTAAGAAAGAAACTGGGTAGGCTTTCTGGGTAAAGAAACTAACCTTTGAGAGAAGCATTGGTGGGGTCTATAGTCTGCCCAGTGTGGTCTGAGACCCCACCTTTGTTTCCCATAATCAAGGTTGGTTTCTTTGCCCAGAGAGGCTTTCCAGTCTCTTTCTTACACCAGATACTACAGGCTTGCGTTTTGTGGAAACACATCTACTCTCTGAACACTCAGAGGAAAAGATATTTGTGGCAGGAGACACTCTCTCTGGGAACATTCTACTTACTGCAGGATCGCTCTCTGGCAAAAAACATCTACTCTCAACACCTGGAGGAAAAGATACTTGTGGCAGGAAACACTCTCTCTGGGAACATTCCAGTTACTACAAGCTTACTCTCTGTGGAAGCACCCGTAGCCTCAGAACACTCAGCAGACAAGACATTTCGGGTTGAAGACACACACTCTGAGAACCTTCTACTGACCACAGGCTTACTCTCTACAGAAACACATGGAGGGAAAAATGGATATATGATGAAGTAGAGACCTTTGAAGCATTCCTGATGAAAAGACCAGAGCTGAAGAGAAAATGTGACTTTCAAATACAAGACAAACATTAAAAGGTAAATATGAAAGAGAAATCCTAAGCGACTCAATAAGGTTAAATTGTCTACTTTTCTATAAGAGAAGAGGATACACATATCTTTAAGAATGTTGTCGTTATTAGAATAGGTTAGAGGGATTTTGCATAAAAAGAAGTTTTTACATAGGAAACCAGTTAGGTTGAGATGATGTAAAATAAAGGGATGGGTGAGAAATGTGGATGCCCTGGGAGAAGGCAGAAGGAGAGAAAGAATGGGGGAAATGATCTCGTATAAAATAGGTGTGGAAGGAAGAGCTTTTACCCTGGAGTGGAGAAAGGTCGCAGGGCAGAGTGGCCAATGCTTGAACTTCAGTCACATCTAAATTGGTTCACAAAGAGGAAAATATCTATATCTATTTTGTATCTGTATCTATATATACTTACTCAATTGGTCATAAGAATCCATCTTACTCTAGAGGTAAGTAAGAGAATGGAAAAGAGAAAGAAAAATTGGTGATAAAAGGGCAAGCTGATAAAAGAATACAGTGGTTATATGCAAAACTGAAATGAGAGGAGAGACAGGATAAAAAGAGAGAGAGAAGGAGAAACAGAAGAAAATAGGATGGAGGGAAATGTATAGTTCCTCATCCTCACTTTGTGAATGGGATGAACTCATGCATAAAATGGAAGGGGATAGCAAAATGGATTAGAAAGCAGTATCCAAAAATGTGTGTGTTTGTTTGTTTTAAAAGAAACATGCTTGAAACAAAGAGAGAACCACAGAGTTAAAATAGGGCGCTGGAGGAGAAACTGTTATACCTCTGCTAAATTAAAAAATGGAGGGGTGGCAGTCATGATCCTGAGATCAAAGCAAAAGCACAAATACACCTAGTAAAGGGGGTAAGCAGGGAAACGACCTCTTGTTCAAAGGAATGACAGACAATGAAGTACTATCAATAGTAAACATATTTGGGAAATGGCATAGGACTCAAATTCTTAAAGGAAAAATTAAACGAGGTACAGGAAGAAATAGACGGGAAAACTATAGTAGTGGGTTACCTCAACTTTTTGTTCTGAGAGCTAGATAAACCTAAGCATAAAATGAATAAGAAAGAAGTTAAGACGAGTGATAGAATTTTAGAAAACTTAGATATGAAAGACCTCTGGAGAAAACTGAATGAGGATAGAAAGGAGTACAGACAAATGGTGCTTCATGGAAATTCACATTATACAAACTCGACTTTATGTAAGGAATTCTATAAGAAATGTGCATTCCAAGAAAACACCTCTGCTTTACCATACTGTACTGGGATCTCTTTCTCCTCCTGTCCCTCAACTTGGTGCTCTGTGGCCTCCTACCACCACTAACCCTCTGCCCCAAAGAAAGAGGTAAAAGAAAGTCCTCCAAGTGAAAGCAGAAGAACAGACCTGCAGAGAGACAGCCACCACCACTGCTGAATGGGGACTTGGCTTGAGACCTCCACTGCTGAGAGAGGAGACCTTGGTTTCACTCTGCCCACCTGCCCGAGAGTTTGGTCCCTACATTTTGGTATTTTGTCCATCCATGTGGGTGTACAATGTGTTTGTCCCTGGTCCCCACCGAGTGTGGCCTGTCCTTTCCTGAATGTTTGCGTGTCCGGCCTTCATGTGTCTGCCTGCTGGCATGTTCTTCCTTTCAGTTCCAGCCGGGCCCTCATGTGGCTGGCCCCACCAGCCACGTGTTCCTCCTCCTGCTCTTGCTTCTCAGTGCCCAGGCTCCACGTGTCCTGGAACCATGTGCCAACCCCTCCTCCACAGGGGTGCAGTCCCCTTCCCACTTCCCTCCTGCCCTTTTCCACTTCTGTGGGTAAATTCACATGATGTAAAGGGTCTTCGGGATGGTCCACTTAAGTTGTTGTTGTTGTTGTTGTTGTTGTTGTTAATATTTATTTAGTATTTTATTTTTCCCCAATTATATGTAAAAACAATTTTTCACATTCATTTTAAACTTTTGAGTTCTAAATTCTCTCCCTTACTCCTCCCTCAATCTCTACCCCGCTCCCCCTCCCTCGCATCGAGCAGGTAAGCTGTTTGATATAAGTTGTACATATTTGGTCATGTAAAACATATTTCCATATTAGTTATGTTATAAAAGAAAAATAGACCAAAAAAACCCATCAAGAAATATAAAGTTAAAAAAAAGTATGCTTTGATCTGTATTCAGAGACCACCAGTTTTTTCTGTGGGGATGGATAGCATTTTTCATCATTTGTCCTTCAGAATTGTCTTAGATCTTTATATTGCTGAAAATAGCTAAGTCATTCATAGCTGATCATCTTATAATAGAGCTGTTACTGTGTACCATGTTCACCTGGAACTACTCGTTTCGCTTTGCTTTAGTTCATGTAAATGTTTCTAGGATTTTCTGAGACCACCCTGATCATCATTTCTTATAGCATTCCATCACACTTACATACCACAACTTAATCATCCATTCCCGATTGATGCTTATCCCCTCAATTTCCAGTTCTTTGCCATGAGAAAAGAGCTGCTATACATATTTTTGTATGTAGAGGTCCATTTAGTATTTTTTAATATCTTTTGGAATAAAGATCTAGCAGTGGTATTGCTAGGTCAAAGGGTATGCATGGTTTTATAGCCCTTTGGACAAAGTTCCAAATTGCTTTATAGAACGGTTAAATCTGTTCACAGCTCCACCAACAGAATATTAATGTCTCAAATTTCCCACATCCCCTCCAGAATTTGTCATTTTCTGTCCTATTAGCCAACCTAGTATGTGTGAGGTAGCACCTCCCAATTTTTTCATTTGCATGTCTCCAATCAGTAATGATTTACAACATTTTTTCATATGGCTATAGATAGCTTTGATTACTTCATCTGAAAACTGACTGGTCATATCTTTTGATCATTGATCTGGTGGGGAATGGCTCTTATTTTTATAAATTTGACTGACTTGTCTATGTAATTGAGAAACAAGGCCTTTATCAGTGGAACTTGGCTTCAAGAATTTTTTTTTTACCACTTATGTTTGCTAACTGTATTTCTCTCCATCCTATTTCCCCCTTATTTCTTTTATTCTGTTTCTCCTTTCATGTTGAGGGCTTGCACTGATGGGTTTGAGGATATAGGTCATGTCGGGATGTTCGTGTTCCTGTCCATTATCTAAGAGCCGTCTCGGTCAGAACGTAGGCTCTGCGACCTCTTCCAGGCACTGTCTGTCCCTTGAGAGGATGAAGGATTTGTCAATAAACTTTGAAAGATAATCGGGAAGTGAGGAGATGATTCCGGGGGGTTACTGCCCCCAGTGACTGTTACCATGAGAAGAATTACTTGTTGATACTTGGTTTTTTCCATTCTTGATTCTGTTCCCACGAATGGGGTGTAAAACCCCTAACTCTGAGATCAATAAACGGAGCTTGTTTATACTTGCTACCCCCTGGTCCGCATTTCTCTCTCTCTCTCTCTCTCTCTCTCTCTCTCTCTCTCTCTCTCTCTCTCTCTCTCTCTCTCTCTCTCTCTCTCTTCCTTCTTTCTCTTTTTCACTCTTTTCAGCCTCACTGGATAACTTCATAGTGGACTCAGAAGTCTGCAACAAGTGGCCCCAACGTGGGGCAATTGGGAGCCTGAAAGAGTGGCTTTCCCTGGTGAGGAGCCCTTGACCCAGGTGGGCTGCCTGGCCAGCAGCTGTGATGAGGAGCGCTCCACCCGCCTGAAACAAGATGGGAAATGGAGTCACTGGTAAGTAAGCGACTCCCGCTGTTTGAAATAAGACAGCAGAAGGATCGCTTGATGGGAAAAGAGGCGATTCCTGCTGTTTGAAAAAAGACGGCAACCAAGGTAAGGGTAGTAGATTCTAAGTAGTTTTTTTTACCAGGTTAAGCGGAATTAGAAAAATAGATTAGTGTGTATGTTTTGAAAATATAAGCAGTAAAAATGGGACAAGCTTTATCAACAGAGCAGAAAGGCAAGGAATATTATTTACAAGTATTAAAATCATTAGCAATAGACAGGGGATTATTAATTACTTTTGGACATCTGGTTGTAGCCCCCTGCACACTCTCCATGCCCTGAGCTGTAAAAAAGGCTCAAGCGGCAGGATGAGAAATCCCTATAAAACTACAGATTGCTTTGCCTCTTATAAACATCAAAACCTTAAGAAAGATTTTGCCTGGTTTTTGAATACCATGAAAAGAAAAGATAAAATAAAATAAAAAGTAGTATATTTTATTTTGTGTAGGGGATTTCTGACAAGTTTCTCGCTTTTGGATTCTCCCTGTCATTTTGTTCTCTGTTTGTCTGTGCCTGTGTGAATAATGATCTGTGATTAATGTTTATAATTTGTCTGATCCTTTTCTGTCAGGCAGCCAAGGGCTGCAACTGGATTCTGAAATGCTGCTAGTGACTTTCTCACTTTCCCTCTCCCTAATACCAGCGGCATTCCCGGGAGCGGGTGGATGGGGGAGAGAATGGGAGAAAAAAAATACTTCATTATTTAGGTTATGTGATTGATAAAAAGCAAGTTGAGAAGGATCCTTGAAGTGTCAGGTCAGAATTAGAAAGATGTTAGATATGTGCAGTTTTAAAGGGACTTTAATCAAAGTCCATCAGAGGGATAATTAGGTGGTAGGAAGACAAGAAAGTTTAAGCATGTAGGGATGAGAGGAGTATGTGTTGAAAGCTTAAGGAAGGTATAATTTATTTGCACAGTGTGAACAGAGGGTTTATGAGCAAAAAGATTTGGAAACTTTTAGAGAACTGATAGGAAGAAATTCTTTCTTTTTGCATTCTAAAGCTCTGGCCAAAAGCTTTGAATGTACAAAGATAAGTTGTTGAAAAAATATTCTCTTCCTTTCTCTCGCATCCCAGCCTTGGTCAAGTTAGGGTGGGGAAGAAAGAGAGTGAGAATTAGAACAGGTTAAGTATTGGAACACAATCAAAAGGTAATTTAGTTCATTCAAATCAGTAATATGTTTGTTTCAAGTTTTAAGAATCTACTATCATTACAAATTGGTAAACTTTTATGTGTTATGTCAAGCAGTTTTTAATAATTTGAATGTTATTGAAATGTGAACTACAAGATAGTGGGAAAGCTGTGTAAAGCCAGCTACATTATTTTATCAAGTACAGGTAATCTTGTTTTATAATGTTCTATAACTGTCAATTAGAAAATCAGGTATTCCCATCTTTACCTATGATTAACAAACAACTTAGAACTAAAACAATTTAAATATCATTTATGAAAATTACCAAATTGTTAACTAAGTTATTTGAAGTCACTGTTTTCAAGTGAAAACTTAGACTTTTTAATTACTTATGAGTGAAAAGGAGGGGCACAAGGCAATTCCCTTTACTTTGTAAGTTTGCCAAGGCTCTTAGTAATCAGTTCTCTGAGCAAGGTCGTCCGCTTTGAGAGAAGAATTTGTTTATGTTATTGAGTTCCTAAACAATTCATTTAGCTTACTGAGAAATTGCAGCTTTATATAAATGATTTCTAATAATTGGCTTTTTCACCAAGACAAGTTTAAATTTGGGAAAGAAAGGATGTTAGGTAAAATTTCTTGTATATGTGAGTCCTAGTAAATCTTTACTGCTTATTACACTTCCATGAAAATAAAATTAACTGTATCTGGCTTTAAGCCATAATTAGTGAAACTTAACTCTTTGAGGTAAAAGACTCTTAGGACTATAATTAATTTTGTTTTAAGTTTGAATTTGGGTATAGTTGTCTCCATTAAATCAGTGTTTGAAGTTTTCTTATTATGTTCTTTTAAGAAAGAATGTTTCCCACCAGGGGCCAAAATTTTATTCATAAAAACTATTATACCTGTTAGGCAAAAATATTCCCAGACAAAAATGATTTATTATATGGATGATAAACTTTACAGTTATCCTACTACTACCAAACTCTCCTTATTAATGCCTAAGTTTTAACAAGCCTTTCAGTCTCATAGCTTTATAATTACTCCTTAAAAGGTATAAAAAAAATCACCCTTTGCTTACTTTAAACTTCAGACATATTGGTTCACAGTCTACAATTAGACCACCAAAATACTACAAATTAGTCAAGATTCCTTAATAACTTTTAATAATTTTCAAATGACTTTTAAAAGATATTAGTTAGCTTTAGCCTACCTAATAGATCACAACTAATCAATTTTTTAAAGATGAATTTAAACTAGTAGAATAAACATAGTTGAAACTCAATTAATTCCCCTTAATTTGTGGGGCACAATATTTCACATTTAATGAGAGCTGTTATTTTCTCCTGCCCACTGTTTGTGCTTTTTCTATGCATAAAACTGACAAAAATACAAAAGTAATCTAATAAACCTGTTTGGGTTCCTTAAAATTCACCTGTTTTTGTTATTGAAAAGAAGTCAGGAAAATTGACAATGCTTTATGACTTCCTGGCCTTTGATAATTATTGATTTAAAAGATTGCTTTTTTACTATTCCGTTACAAAAAGCTAAAAATGATATATGGTGACGTATTTTGTAGCTGTTCCATTTATAGTGAACTCACACATTTATTATTGCAGCTTTAACGAGCTTTACAATACTCTGGGCTTATTATAGCCCTGGAAAAAGTTTAAGAAAAACCTTAATTCTCCTACCTAGGTCGTATTGTCACCAAAACAACAGTGAAACCACAAAAAGTACATTTACCTGTTAATTCTTTAACAGCATTTAATTTTAACGATTTTCAAAAACTTCTAGAGCATGTTAATTGGCTCCGACCACCACTCCAAATTACTACAGAACATTTGTGTAATTTCTTTTTTACATTAAGAGAAGATCCTTATTTAAAGTCCCCTAGCATATTAACTCTTAAAACAAAATATGAGCTTTAATTAGTCAAACAGAAAAATTCCTGAAACTCATTTCACCCATATTTCTTTATAGAAGGGCAAGGTGCTAATCTTGATACTCCAGTGTCCTCTACAATTTTTAATTTACAGAAAATGTATTTGCAGTTATTCATCAACTTTATAATAAAAAATAAATAGACTCTCTTGTTTCCTCTTTAAAAGATTGCCAAATTGCTGTTATTATTTTTTCTGGTCATATTAATATTGATATTCACTAACCATCTCTCAAAATATTAACCCTTTTTACGAATTATTCATGGGTATTTCAAAAAATTGTTAAATTTAACCTCATTCCTTCAACACCCACTGCGTTCACCAATGGGTTATATACAAATATATAACAGGATTTTGCTGAGCTTATCAATATTGTTTCTACTAGCAAATAATCTATTTATGTCTCTCAAAATATAGAGACTGCAAAGTTAAAATATATTACTAATACACAATTATATGCCCCTTTATACCACCTTCAAAAGTCACTTTGTTCATGTTATTACCTTATCTCTATTGCCTACATACAACTACATTTTAATTTGTCCAGACTTTTTACTGAAAAGCAATACCATTATTGATTCTTAATTACACTTCTACCCAACACTTTTACAAGTTATTAATTGCTAACACTTGACCTTTTATTAAGTTTTTATTGAGCCTTTTATTGATTATATTCTGCCAATACAACCACCTTAACTATTGAGAAGAAAATATTTTGGGACTATTTTTAAATAAACTCCTACAGTAATACAAACATTGTATAAAGAATAATGATTATGTTTTTCAATTAATAGCCTATTTGATATATATATATATATATATATATCTATATATATATCAAAAGGCTTTTCTCCCAAACATAATTGGCATTCAAATGTAACTTATATGCCTTCTTTAGAAAAGCTTTCTTATATTCATGTTATAATTGATATTTTTTCTTCTTTCATTTTTGCCACTTTTCAAACAAGTGAAACAATTAAAACATGTAATCAATCATATTTTACAAGCCTTCACAATTATTGAGTGTACTTACACAAATTAAAATAAGTAATACTCCTACATATGTTACTAAACATTTTCTTCTATTTATTCTTTTAATTACATTTCTCTAATCACCAATATTTTATATAATTAAAAACAAAAATATTAAAAAATTTTTTTTACACAAAAGGGGGAATCTGGGCTATTGCCCCTTATGGACAATTGGCTATTAATTTTCTAAATATTAACAAAGATGAGTACCCCTCAGCCTAAAAACATCCAGAGGCCCAGATCCATTACTGGATCTATTACTAATGAGGGGATGAGGGTGTGCTTATATATTTTTCAGAAAACTTTGAGAAATGTGCCTGGATACCGGAGAAAAATGTCAGAGCGTGTGTAACAACTCACAGCTCGAATGCAGAGTATGAGAATTCAGGGGAAGCGCAGAAGGAGCCAAACGAGTCGCCTTCCTACATAGAGGTCAAGTGAAAGCTCCCTCTCGTCAAGTGATAAAAGACTCCTGAACTTGTATTTTTAGCAATGGTAGCTTTACTTTCTGCTCAAGTTTGTAATGTACAGAATGGTCAGCACTGGACTTCTTTTTCCTTTTCCACCCTGGTTGCAACCTATCACAGATATGGACAAATTGGGACTATATATATACTAATAACACCTGTATATTCAGAAGACAAGAAGATCCCTATCTCTAGGACAAAGTCGATGTTATGATTACCCTCAGATCTCTAGCATCCAGGACACTTACATGTTTTTCAGAATTTAGCAACAATATTGAATCATGTCTTTTCTTTCTTACATCATTTGTTAATACCTATTTGTCTAATGGATATGTAAATTTTATTCAATCTAATACTATTTTTGAATTGGAATGTTATTTGTGTCAGTTGTACTCTCAAACAATGTATTGATCATAATGACTATGTTGTACTTTTGGTAAAACAATAATCATTTATTATTTTCCCTACTAATATTTCACATGAACAGTTCCAGAACTCTGGAAAACGTGCTCCTAAAATTAGTATTTCCTCCTTAAGTCAATCGAAACAATTTATTGGTCTCCTTATTATTGGTTCAATCATTGTTGCTTCTTTTATTGTATCTACTACTATTTTATCTATTGTGCTTCAATTTAAATTTTAAACTGCATAAATTGTATATTACTTACCAGTGTTTAATACTTAAAGCTTAAGAAGCAACTGAGTTATTGCATAAAGTCAATTTATTAGAGCAATCAGCATTGTAAGTTAGATCTCTTGAAAAGAAGATTGCTATTGCAATGTGATTATAGAATATTTACATTACCCTGCTCCCTATGATGCTTCATGAGACAAGAGACTTACCCACCTATTGAGGGCATGGCACAATTCTAATATTACCCTCAATGTTAATACCCTTCATGATATTACTGCCAATTTTGAACTGCTCAGTATGCTAACAATTGGTCTACGATTTTACAATATTAAATTTATAGAGATACTATGGTGCAACAAGAATTGGATCTTTTAGAACAATCAGTAATTGCATTAGGTAAACATAACAACAATTAGAAATGCACTTCAATTTGAAATGTGATTATTGCTATTCGCTTATCTGTGTAACTCCATATGTGTATTCAAACTTTACTAATGTAACTATCGAACAAGTATTAAATAAGCTCCAAGGTGCATGGCACTCTGTCAATATCACCTGGGACATTAATCAGCTATCCAAAATACGACATGAAATTGCTGATTCTCGTATTGATGGTATTGATCCTAAAGATATTGCAAACAAATTGTTAGATTGGATTGATCAACTTAATCCTCTTAAGAATGTATTAAGTTTGCTGTTACATTTTTTACCTTGGCTATGTTTTGTATTAATTTTGTGTTTCCTCCTTCCCTGCTTGTTAAAATACACTCGCCATACTTTAGGTGAGATTTTTTCATCCCTTCATCTTCTCAGGTTTAACAGTCAGAGGGGGGAGGTTGTTGAGGGCTTGCACTGATGGGTTTGAGGATATAGGTCATGTCGGGATGTTCGTGTTCCTGTCCATTATCTAAGAGCCGTCTCGGTCAGAACGTAGGCTCTGACCTCTTCCAGGTGCTGTCTGACCCTTGAGAGGACGAAGGATTTGTCAATAAACCTTGAAAGATAATCGGGAAGTGAAGAGATGATTCCGGGGGGTTACTGCCCCCAGTGACTGTTACCATGAGAAGAATTACTTGTT